AAAATTCTACATTTGAACAATAAATTTTCATTTAGTGCTTGATTGGGTGATAGTACATTTGTTGCACTACCCAAGACATTAAAACATGTGAAGACCATAATACTCTTCTCTCTCTCTTTTTTTTAAAATTAAAATATAATGAGGATTATTTTATTATTTTTATTTTCTCTCTCTCTTTATCATGATATACCAAGAGGATAGCTGAAATGATTGATGAGAATTATTTTATTATTTTTGTTTTTTATTATTTTCGTTGTTTGTATTGGGAGGTTGTTAAAGTTACGTGTTAATTGTTAAGGTTACGAGTTAATTGTTAATGTTACGGGTCAATTGTTAATGTTATGAATCATCTCTCTCTCTCTCTTTCTTTTTTTATTAAAATATAATGAGGATTATTTTATTATTTTTGTTTTCTCTCTCTCTTAATCATGATGTACTAAGATGATAGTTGAAATGATTGATGAGGATTATTTTATTATTTTTATTTTTTATTATTTTGGTTGTTTGTATTGGGAGGTTGTTAAAGTTACGGGTTGATTGTTAAGGTTACGGGTTGGTTGTTAAGGTTAAGGGTTTGTTGTTAAGGTTGTGGATTTGTTGTGTAGGTTACGGATTTGTTGTTAAGGTTACAGGTTTAATTGTTAAGGTTATGTGTTTAATTGTTAAGGTTATGGGTTTAATTGTTAAGGTTACATATTTAATTGTTAAGGTTACGGGTTTAATTGTTACGGTTATGGTTTATTAATTGTTAAGGTTACGGCTTAATTGTTAAGGTTGCGGGTTTAATTGTTAAGGTTACGTGTTTAATTGTTAACGTTATGGGTCAATTGTTAAGGTTATGAATCCCTTATCTCTCTCCCTCGTAACCTTAACAATTAAACCCGTAACCTTAACAATTAAACCGTAACATTAACAATTAAACCGATAATCTTAACAATTAAACCCATAAATTTAACAATTAAACCGTAAACTTAACAATTAAACCGTAACCTTAACAATTAAACCCGTAACATTAACAATTAAAACCGTAACCATAATAATTAAACGGTAACCTTAACAATTAAACCCGTAACCTTAACAATTAAACCCGTAACCTTAACAATTAAACCGTTAACTTAACAATTAATAAACCGTAACCGTAACAATTAAACTCGTAACCTTAACAATTAAATACGTAACCTTAACAATTAAACCCGTAACCTTAACAATTAAACACGTAACCTTAACAATTAAACCCGTAACGTTAACAACAAATCCGTAACCTACACAACAAATCCACAACCTTAACAACAAACCCTTAACCTTAACAACCAACCCGTAACCTTAACAATCAATACATAACCTTTACAATCAATCATTATCCTTAACAACGAATATTCTAAAAATACAAAAAGAATAAAAAATAATAATAAAATAATAATCCTCTTTAATCATTTCATATCATCAAAGAAACATCATGAGAGAGAGAGAGAGAGAGAGAGAGAGAGAGAGACAGAGGATTCATAACCTTAACAATTGACCCGTAACATTAACAATTAATTCGTAACCTTAACAATTAACCCGTAACTTTAACAATCTCCCAATACAAACAACCAAAATAATAAAAAATAAAAATAATAAAATAATCCTCATCAATCATTTCAACTATCCTCTTGGTACATCATGATAAAGAGAGAGAGAAAACAAAAATAATAAAATAACCCTCATCATAATCTAATAAAAAAAGAAAGAGAGAGAGAGAGGATTCATAACCTTAACAATTGACCCGTAACATTAACAATTAACTCGTAACCTTAACAATTAACCCGTAACTTTAACAACCTCTTAATACAAACAACGAAAATAATAAAAAACGAAAATAATAAAATAATCCTCATCAATCATTTCAACTATCCTCTTGGTATATCATGATAAAGAGAGAGAGAAAAATAATAATAAAATAATCCTCATCATATTTTAATAAAAAAAAGAAAGAGAGAGAGAAGGGTATTATGGTCTTCACATGTTTTAATGTCTTGGGTTTTGTGTTTTGGGGGCTCATAGAACATATTTTTTATTTTTAGGGGTAAAACGCCCATTGACCAAGTCCTGGTGGTGGGAAGCACGTTCACTTGGCTTTTGGGGGCTGGAAGCATTTTTTCCTTAAAAAATATATATTAGACTACAACTTATTCTAAAAATGAAAAAGAAAAAGAAGAAAAAACTCAAAGGCGTAGCATCCAACGTTACTAACAAATTCAGAATGAAATACATAATTATAAATAGTATTCCCCTTTGGCCTTAAATATTCATTGACCTGGAATGTTGCTACTGGACCACTGTTCATGCTTATATCTCATAGTTGAAAACAGTTACAAGCATATTCCTGGAATGTTGCTACTGGACCACTGTTCATGCTTATATCTCATAGTTGAAAACAGTTACAAGCATATTAAAAAAAAAAGAAACTAAAAAATGGAAACAGTTGATTGTCTTTTCGGGATCTTTCACCCAGATCTTTCACCCAGAGGCCCGAATGAATGTGGTTATCTAAGAAGCTCAATCTTTGTTCACTATACAAACCATGTAAAGGAGTAACTGTTGTATTCATATCCTTAGGCTAGCCTTTACATTCTACATTAGGCGTTTTATAAAGGAGTAACTGTTGAATGAAATTTGAAGTAAGCCTGCATACTACTTTCAGAGAGAACAGTTACACAACTTCAAAGACCACAAGAAAGCTCACTCAAATGTAAAACTGTAGCATTACAATAAGTCTTGAATGTAACTACATAACCAATCATGAATTTGCTCTATATTGGATAACCCTTTGGCTAAGAACAATAAGAGGAATAGTGGATGCAATCCCGAAAAGACAATCTCGATTAACCATTGGTTGCAAAGAGGCGAGGAGGGTACAAGAAAACACATCGCATCCAAAACCTCTAACATGAAAGAAATAAACAACAGTAATCACCATAGTATAATGTTTTCGAATCCATCAATCGAAGCTTGATGTTTGACTACATCTCCCTTTAAGGTAACCCTCAAGAGATGTATTTGCTGTTACAAAATCACTGTTGACCGATAGCGAGTCATCTTCTACATCGAGGAGGGCAAGATTGATATGAGACTGGATGTTGGAATTTTGATTTGTTGCTGTTTCATCCAATGCAATAGAGTCTTCTGTAAAATTATTGACTTGTGCCCTTGCCCACTTAAGGACATTGGCATCTCCTCGTAGTAGCTTGACAACCTGGAATTAGGCAATCAAGATATATAATGTTAGCCATCTACAGTTTACTTCATCATAGTAGTAACAATAAAATGGGTGAATTATTTCAGTCTCACTTGTTGAACCCTTTGAAGCGTGCGTATTGCTAGATATGATAACAAGGATTACCTTGTAGTCATATTTATAAAAGAACATGCATTGAACCATGAAGTTGAATACACTAATTCCGGGTGTCATTAGGCAAAATTGCACAATGATTGTAACATGGATATCAAAAGCTCATTGCTGATTATCCTAAAAAAATAAACAATTGAAAACTTGAAGATAAACGACTAAAAAAAACTGAAACCTTAAGAGTCATGTAATCACGACTGAGAATGTGTCTTCCATCCTTTCCAAATTTAATATCTGAAATTGACAAAATGATCTCAGTGGAAAAAAGATCTCGAACCTGGTGCTTCATGCTCCTCAAACATGGAAGTACATGCAATTAGCCATGACAGTAGCAAAGAAGCAAACAACTCAAAATAAGAATTCAGTAAGTTTTTATTGAAACAAGAAGTCCACCCAATTACATGTCACTGTATAAAAGTTCAAAGAAAAAACAATAGATCACTTACAACATTGAGTGGTTATCACACAGTGCTGATTGTTGAAAATAAATAAGTCGTATAGAGCCCATGGAGCTACTATATGCTAATGTGTACAGTGCGTAGTATGGAATTATCCGGATGTTATGACCTTTTGCAAACAAACTAAAAGTCTTAAAATGACGGTTTACAATTTTCAACATGCCAAAGACCTCTGCCATTTACAGCCGTATTAAACATAAGAACTCCAAAAAGTTGGGTTTAACTATGTCTAAGCACTTGGAATAGTAAAAAATGTAATTGCGAAACAAATTTCCATTCATGTTTCAAAAACATCTGACTTGCACTTAGAATATCTGAGGTCAGATCCCAGGACAATGCTGAACATAATCCACAAATGAGAGGCATACATGAATCTATGACCGTTAAATAGTCCCTTACAGTTATGGAGTCAAATAGAAGTGCAAGGCATGTTAGTTATGAGTTATGTTTATGTAAATGTTTGTGCATATAAGCAAGCATGCAAAACAAATTATACTCAAATTATGTACTTTCAAGTGAATAAAAGGATACTCATCAACAAATATTAATATATAACAACAAAAGTAACATCCTGTGCTTCGCATGGAAAACACGTTGCAGACAACTATCAAGCAATAAAGTTCTGGTTTCTGAAACACATAAAGAGAGATAGTTTGATCATTGTGACGATTCGTGTAAAACCATTCCAATATAAGACAATTTTCCATTTAACCTAACCATGTAAGAGTATATTTGCAAGTTCTAAGAAAGATAGTACTAAAATCTCATCATAATCAAAATAAGAGAACAATGAGTTATTTTCATGCACATATGTTAGTAAAGCACAGAAATGCTATATTATATATTATATACAATTTTAACATGCAAGAGGCTAAGAATCATATGCTTGACAATGAAAATCTATATAAGCTTAAGTTAAGGAACGGTCATTTGCTCAGGAAGACTTTTGATTTTGCTTCCTAAAACAATTTACAAGGTAATGCAAATGGCCAGGAAACCAAACTACCTGCTCTTCTACAAGGGTGGGATCCAAAATTACAGATCCATTCTCAGCCAAAGCGCAACTGATTGCAACTGCACAAAGTAACAATAAAGTTAAAAATTACGAAAGTATATGGAACTACAAATAATCACAAATATTAGTTAGCTGTCCAGCAAGATGCTTCAAAGGAATGCCAGCATCTACAAGTGCAGCACAGGATGCATTTATAGCACATGGCAAGAGCTACAGTCTTGATTAAGAATCTGAAATCATTATAAAAATGTTTGCACGTCCACAAAAGGTTCAAATTGTAACATAAACTACTAAGTAAGGAACCAATTAAGTTTGCATTTGGCTTGTGTTGTGCATCAGATAAATGCAGTTTCCTCTAACAAAAACAGTATCTTTCCATTCAAGTGCACTGATTTCTATGTTAAGAGAATTTAGAAGGTTGCTAATGATTTACAAGCTCAAACTGTGTGATCAATAAAGTAGTTTTCCCTATCATTTGCCTTCAGGCTCTTTAAGCAACAATCCCTTTCTTTTCTTATCCCACTTTTTCTCGATAGGAATTTAACACGGTAAGCACGAGTGGAGGATAAGATCAGCTTGTGACTCTAAAGACACCCTCTAAATACAAAACCGGGAATGATCTCAATTTAGAGTGAAACAGCTCACATATGTGGGAGAAGGCAAAGGTGATGATAATAAAATATTAAATAATATGAGCACAAAACGAATATCAAGAAGGGCCTGTAACAAAAGTAGGACATGGTTCCAAGTCGAAAACATGTGTGCCATGAATAAGCTTAAAAGAAAAGACTGACAAATGATGAGAATCAATTAATGTTAGAAAAGTTAAAACTAAAGCTTTGTAATTGAACTCCTTAAAAAAGAGGTTCCTGTTTAGATCAACTGAAATGAAGGCAAAAGTTGTATCACGATCTCCACCCATCACTTAGGAATTTTATAGCCAGATTTTAGTGTGAGGATTACTACTTCTAATTCTCCACGAATTTGAGAAACTTAAGTATTGGAAAAGCCATGGAAAGATTGGTGAGCTAAAAGCAAACACCCAGTTCTTTCATGCCATATACGCCAGGATAAGACATCTTGTAATCTCTAGCATCATATTAGCATTTCCATATCATGAGTTGAGTCGATCATTCAAACATAACATTAAAAAAGTTTCAGCGATCCTCCATAAATTTCTGAATAGCAAATTTAAAGAATAATGAGATATTGTTTTAAATTGTTAGATAGGCATTCCTATCAAGACGCAAGGACTTTTGATGAAAGACTCTGTCACAAAGTCCATTCCACGTGTTAATCTATATGAATTCAAGGAAATGTTTTACTATTAAGAATGATTCAATTTGACTATTTAAAGAGGTGCAGTGAGATAGGATATAAGATTACCAAATAAATAGAATCTGTGGTTGCAAAAATAAAAGGGTTACTAAACTATCCAAGGGAACCCCTTTGCACGTATAAACTAAATAAATAGAATCTGTGGTTGCAAAAATAAAAGAGATCACAGGCGACTAAACTAAACTTACTTTACAGTCGCGATTTAGCTGCTGTTTGTATTTTTAAATGCTTGTCAATTGAATCTGTAGAAAATCGAAAAACAGGGCAAAATTATTAGAATAAAATAAGAGAACTGAAAAACTAAAAGGGGATAGTGTGAATTGAGCATAACTAAAGCTTAGATCTAGGGTTTAGTACACCTACACAAGTTCTCAATCAAGCTAGCGTACTGCTCTCCCGAATCCCTAATTAAATCAGTTAATTTCCCAATTCGAACCAAAAAAACCCTGTAAATTCAATTTAAAGGTTGAGAAATAAGAACTTACCTGACCTCAGCGGACGGCGAGGGCTTGTTCGCCGCCGAGCAGCGAAAAGTTCGAGAAGAAATGTAGTCGCCTTTCTTCGATTTTGGAGAGGAATGTGGTATTTTGTGATTACGGATCGAATTAGGGTTAGGAAATGAGGAGAGAATGAAGGAGATTTGAGGAGGAGATAAGGCAGCCATGACTGTTGAGTGAGTGGAATTTCGTGGGCCGCCGAGAAGAGTAAACGATGAACGCTTCGGCTTCAGCGGAGAGGAAGGCGCTTAGGTAACGATGATCTTTTCGGCTTCTGCGGAGAGGAAAGCGTTACCGAAGTGTAGATTAAGGCTGATTACGCTTAGGAGGTCAAAATTTGGTATATTTAAAATAGTTTAGGGTTAATTTGGGTAGGAGAAAGTTTTTTAGGAACTGGCTCTTTTAAAGGGTATATATATTTAGAATAGTTTAGGGTTAATTTGGGTAGGAGAAAGTTTTTAGGAACTGACTCTTTTAAAGGGTAGATAGATTAATGCGGTATTTCACTTTTTCGTGTTTCTCTTCTTGAAATATGTGCAATTGGCCACTAGCATCCAATTATTGCAAAGATCCAATTAATGTTGATCTTAATTGATTCCCCAATCACTTAAATGAATACTTATTAACAAATATGCTTTGCGTTTAGAACTTAAGTGACTCTCTTGAAAACTTAATTTAAAGATATATCTAATATCTATCTAATCTAATACTATTATAAAAGTGTGTTGGTATGTTAAAACATTTCTTCCAAAAATACCCTTTAAAACATATACATGCATACATAAAACACATGCATCTATACATCAACCATACCTCATACATATATAACCCCCAATTAAATGCATTATTATTTATAACCCCTAAAATAATTTCACCATGACTAAGTTCTTTATATTTTTATAACCTCCCATTAACATATTAGTCTCTTATAATTCTCATTAATTATCACTATCATAATTGAAAAAAACGTTACAACCATTCATCTTCTTACTAAACCACTATAAATCATAACAAATCTCTTGCAAAAATGAATACATCATATGCACCCTTATCATCTCCATTGCACCTCCTCAAATCCTTGAACGTCTCTTTGTCCTTATTTTGCCTATTTGCTTTTCATTCTCTACACAACCAATCACTACTTACTATCTCTTATTATAACATGATGAGATTAGCATGCTAATTTCAATTTGAGATTTATAGTAAAAGATTCTTTCTCTATCTTTTCACGTTGGAGCATATCAAGGTGCATATAAAGGATCTTGCATTTCTTTTGTAGATCACTCAGGTTTGTTTGATAAATATGATCCTAAGATGGTTCTTGGCAATTTCAATCACGAAGGTTCTCTTATAAATTAATTTTAAATATTTTTTGTTCAATGTTATTGGTAATTTTTTATCATTAGAATTTCTTTGTGCTTGATTTGGCTTATTATAATTTATGTCTTAATTGGTCAATCTCTATAATAAATAGTTAATATAATTAATTTTATTTTTTTACTATAATTTATCAATACTTTGAGGGACAAATTAAAAATAGCTTAGGGGAGGGACTTGATATTAGTTTTCTGATTTGAGGTACTTTAGAATATCAAAGATTTAAGGAACCGAGGGATTAATTATATATATAACAAATTAATCTCCTACTCTCTCTTTCTTAATTCTCAGTAATGATCACTACCATAATCATAGAGATTAATGTTTCAACTATTTATCTTTATACTAGCCACTATAAATCAGAACTAATTTGTTTAAAATTTTCTATGAATTCTCTATTAAGTATACTTTTCAACTTCATTATTAACACTGATAAAGTAAGATTTAGAAATAAGCTAAATATAGAGTGGGGCTTAGTGACATGTGTGTATTAATTAGAGCTCAAAGTCGTAAGACTAAATTCTAGAAATGACACATCAAGCTACTTCACTTCCAACTGATCAAGTAAGATGAATAATTGAAGAAGAAACAAAGAGTAGTTCCCTGTATTCATATAAATAAGTTTCAGGTTTTTAGGTTTTGCTCTTACTATGTATATGCAAAAATCTTTAATTAGCACTAGCATAAAATGCACATAACAGTCCATATTTTTCAGTGTATCGAAGAAAAAAGATTAAAAATTTTAATATCAAATAATATTCAGTCTGCTATTGTGGAAATTAAGTTTGAACTGAGGATATACTTTGGTCATACCCATCATGATGGTTCCTTAATAAATCATGTACTGAGTTGTAAAATTCATCC